TTTAGAATTGCTACATCAATCTTTAATGCCTGTGTACAATTCATGGGCAGCATTTTCCTAAGCGCATCAGTTCATTGTTGTGATCTGGGTCATCCATCCATTCTTCAAACTGCTTATCCTCTGTAGGGTCGCAGGGATGCTGGTCCAAGGGTGGAGGAAACACTGCATGGATGACCATTCCATCATTGGGGAACACTCTTTCTCATTCACTACACAGACAAGTTAGTGTCTCCAATTCACCTCTGAAAAACTCCACACAGACAGACCTCCAGGCTCATTTGGGACTTGATCTGGGGACCTTATTGGTGCAAGGCAACAGTGTTATAAACCCCCATTTCAAACTGACCTGGGTCATGTGCCATCCACTTCATTTTAATACTACATCCCAATAACAAATAGATGATCGGGCTGATAAAAGGGTGGGCTGTGGCCAATGCAGTAGCTGCTGGAAGTCCATATTTCAACATACTTGGACCCAGGCTGTCGGTAAGAGTGGCTTGAAGCATGGTTAAGAAGATTTGAGGGCCCCAGAACACAAAGAAGGCAATCTTTATAGCACAGATGATCTGTGCCTGCTTATTGCAATCTTTATTCCTTCTATGAGCTGATGTCAAACAGCTGAGAAACATGATCAAAGCTGGCACAAGGAGCCCGATAAGAAATCTCATGATAACGACTGCCTTCAGCCTAGCAATGCCGTCTTGAGTTGTTTTCGATTTGTCCAAGTCATAATCATCAATGCACTGAGAAGATCGCACCTCTCTGGAAAACAGCGAAGGACATGCCAAGACTGCTGCAATAGACCAGGAGAATGAAATCAGAATGATGTTACAATTCTTGCAATTTTCTAAGCAATCGTTTTTAAAAAAAGCAGAACTAATGCTCCAGAGACTCAGCATGGCTGCTGTGGAGAACATACTGCCGTAGGTGATATAGGATGACAGCTTGCAGCTTGCTTTTCCGTAATTCCATTCAAAGTTATTGTAAGCATACAGCAGCTGAAGAACAACAAATGCGCTGGAGACTAAGTGTGTTACAGCCAACGCCGTAATCCAAGTGGAAACCGTTGGCGTTTTCTTGTTTTCCAGGCAGCTGATGATAATGACGATGAAGTTGAGGGTGACACCGAGGATCAGGACAACAGAATATGTAATTAAGTAGATCATCCTGATCACATGTTGGTACTGCTTGATTGCATTTTCTGTGACTTCAAATTCTGTAATGATACCATCATAGTCTGTGGTATTGTCTTCTCTGGACATTTTGTGAAGCCTGAAACAAAAAGATGTGGATTAAAACTTTTTACTTTGAATAACATACTGCCCAGGAACGGATGTGTTCTGTTCAGATCGTATATATATATGTCACCTGTTCTATAACCATTCCTGGGGCCTCATTTATAAAATGTGCGTA